TGGCTACACCCCCGAAGTCACGATTCGGCTCAAAATTATGGAATTTGAGTTGTAGGCATTTTTAGCTTCCTCAGCCTCTCTTACAGCTATTCCATCGCTTATTGCTTCCCATACCGGGCATGTTTGTCACCACCATTTCTTCATAAAATCAATTTTTGTTTGATAACTCCACCATTTTTCACCCAATCTTCATGACATTTTCACAGAATGAAGAGAAGATGCAATACTAAAAATACATTTGTTGAATTTTTGATATATAGAATAGATTTTTGGTGGTGGTGTCTGGAGTGTGGTCGATTGTCACGGAATTTTTGAAAACTTGAATACTACCTGAGGAAAAAATTCATAAAATTTTGCTAATTCATTTAGGAAAAAATCATGTGACTAATTTTTAGAATTAATATTTGCTAACATGCACGCAAAAACCCAATCAATTTCCATAAAAAATAGGTATGGTATTCATTACGTAAGACATGTCAACAAAATCCAATATGGCCACCGTATCGATGGAAACAAATTTTTTTTCTAAAACTTGATTGCAGATTTTAAGACTCATTACTATGTTTGTTATATCTGTGAAATTTGGTAAAATTTAGTCTTCTAATAAGCGAGATAGCCGTCAGGTGTAGCCCCCCCCCCTAAAAATACATAGAAGGTCTTTGCAAAATATGCACAAATGTACTTTTGGGCTTACTTTTTATTTGGAGGTTGATTTTTATGACTCTCATTTGATGAAGTCGACATCAAATTAGATATCAAACAAAGGAAAGTCACTCAGACGAGTAAAAAGGTTCTGTAGTTTAACATTCAATTGTCCCTCCATCATTTGGTATCAAAATATTTTGATTCATACAATTACTTGTCAAACTGGGGGCACTCAAACACCATGCCGAGCTTGCTGGGCTCTATGCATAAATGGGTTTTAAAAAATGCACATGGGAATGAATCCACCAACAAAGAAATTATTAACAAGTCTTTCCCCCACATCTCAAGCAGTCTTTCTTTCGATCTTTCACCTCACCCCACCGTCCTCCTTTTTCTCTTGAAAACCCCGGCATCTGCACAACTCATTTCAAGCCTCCTATTTTCCACCCTTACGATGGTCCTCAATCTCGGGTTCATTTTTGTCTTGCCTATTCTGGAAATTTCAGTGTGGCGGTTTTGTCTTCCGCGAAAAGAAAATAACAGATACCACTGTTTGACCCAAGCTGTCCACGACGCAGCCAAGGAGTTGAGAACTAAACTGTCAGACAAAGAATTCATCGTTTTTGGTCACAGGTAAGACGCATAGTCTTCGTTGTAGTTTCACACTGTATTTGATGGAGTTAACCTGCAATCACCGATTTGTAATACTGGTTCAAATGGGACCAAGACAGTGCGTCGTTAGGTTGATAGTGAGAGTAAGACGACAATGTGGTAGACAATATCAACAACGACCATGACTACGACGACGTCACGGCAACGACACCAATAACGCCAACAGCAGCAGCAGTAGTAGCAGCAGTAGTAGTAGTAGCAGCAGTAGTAGTAGCAGTAGTAGTAGTAGCAGTAGTAGTAGTAGCAGCAGTAGTAGTAGCAGTAGTAGTAGTAGCAGCAGTAGTAGCAGCAGTAGTAGTAGTAGCAGCAGTAGTAGCAGCAGTAGTAG